TTTATAAAGGCTTTACCAATAAAGCATGGGCCATTATCTCTTTTGATTTGGCTGGGTAAACCAAGGGTGGCAAAGCATTGAAGCATATGGCTAATGGCATGTTTGGATTTTTCCCCCAGTATGGGTTGATGCCCAACAGGCATGGGAGAAAGCATCTGTGGAAAGAAAAAACATATTTAAGTTTTTCAAATGGAGAATAATGTGTGACATCAATCTGCCAGAGATGATTGGGGCGAAGTCCTCAGGGATTGTTCCCCATCTTTTGGAGGGGAGGGATCTGAAGGAAGGGCTGACAAGACTTACAGGTCCAGACAATTTTTAACCAGTACCCGAGAAAACTTATGTTTTAGGCCCCTCCAATTAACATGGGTAAGTAGATGGAAATCTGTGGCCTCAGTAACAGTATTACATTGAGGCCTAGAACCCAGATAGTCAGCCAGCTGATTTCCTTTGGAAAGAAATCCTGGCAAATTTTGGTGGCCTCTAATACGTTGCAAATAACTGGGACTGAGTCTCTGTTTAAGTAAGAAGCAAGCCTGAATCATAAGAGGAGAAATGGAATTGGAATATAGTTTAATATGGGCTTCGACCAGGTTGGGCAAAAGATTTACAACATAAAGGCTATCAGAGAAGAGATTAAATGACTGCGATATGGAATCTAGCACCATAACAACAGCAAACAGGTCCTTAAACTGTACAGACCCCTCCACCTCAAGGGAGATTGTTTTTATAGGTATAGGTTTCTCTCCGTGTCCAAGGGATGGGAACACAACTAGGGAGGTCCCCAAATGTCCCCCATCAGTAAACACTGTCAGAAAATCGGGGTTTGGATGGGGCAGTGTGAGACCAAAATGAGCCATCTTAGAAATAAGACCAAAATGCTTTCACCCTAAAACTAAGGCCTAAGATTTCTCCTTCTAGGAATAGGCCAATAGTTACTGAAACCAGTCAGTCCAGATTCCAGAAACCAGGAAGTGTAAAGGTACAGACAGAGGTAATGACTGCCTGACTATGGAATGTCCTCTCCCTGGTTTCCAGGGTAACTGACCATAAAAATGTCCCCACCTGAGGGCAGCCAATGGGAAATGGTGGCGGGCAACCACTCCCTTAGAAGTAAGATTAAGCCATGATTTTTAGAAAGCCCCTAGAAGCGAGCCAATCAGAATTGTACCTGTATTAGCACCCCTAAATGACGTAACCTTGTGCTTTTTCCCTTTAAAAACTGAGCTTGCAGACAGGCGGGCACTTCCTCCAGCCTCCACTGCGTTGGATGTATTGGACGAAGTCCCTGCCTAGGCTTGTATTGCTTTTGGATATCCAGAATTAAACCTTGCTTTTGCATTCCGGCATGCTCATCTTTGGTGGTCTCTCTGGGGGTCACAATCTGGGCACAACAGCAGAAAAATTCTAGAGGGCCACCACTCCAGACAGGAGAAGGAACTCATCCATGTATAAGGGCCATAATGGCAATCAACCTTCCCTGGAAACCCCTCAAGGGCTATGACAATTCTGCTATCATTTCTTTGAAGCCAGGTAAAGTCAGTAATTTTAAATGGAACAATAATGAAATGAGGTTCTGTGTGAAATATCCTGACAGAAATATCCCTGCCCTTAATAATGCAATCAATCAGCAACCTGGTTGGTCAGGGAGTAAACCCGGGGGGCTCCACCCACCGAGGGGTGAACCCAATGAATGGGCTCCCCGTCTTGTGCTAACAGCACAGTGCATAATGTTTCCCCAGGAAAAATACACAGGGAGACAGGCAGGTCAGGGTCGAATCTCCTTAGGGCCACTGTATCAATGGCTTGTTGAACCTGTTGCAAGATTTGCAAATGGTGGGAGGATAAGGTCATCTGGGATGAAAGGTCAGGGCCCTTAAGGAGTTCATTTAGAGGGGTTAACTGTTCTGTGGGCACAGAGATCCATGGCCTCAGCCAATTTATCTCTCCCAGCATCTTTTGAAGCTGAGTTAAGGTATAGGTCTCTTGAATAAGTAACTGGGGTTTAGCTGGGGAAATTGTATCAAGGGACAGGAGAGTGCCCAGAATTTTAAAGGGGGAATGGACTGTACTTTATCTGGAGCCACCCTAAAACTATGATCTTTTAAAATGGTAAGGCAATTAGTGGTGAAGTCCTGAAGGCCCATCAAAGTGGGGCTTCCAAGAATAATATCATCCATGTAAATAAATAAAATGTCGGACATCCCATCAGGGAGGAAAAAATATGTGACATTTATGTAGTGACACATAGGGGACTGTTAGCCATCCCCTGGGGCAGAACGGTCCACTCGAACCTTAAGTCTGGGCCCCAGAAATTGGTAGAGGGAAGGGAGAATGCAAACTTCTCCATATCATCTGGATGTAATGGAATGGAGAAACAACAATCCTTAATATCAATAATAGTCAGATAATAGGTGTTAGGGATGCCAGGTATCCAGGGAAGTCCCCTTTGGGGGGGGGGGCGGGTCCCAAATGGGATCATTCTTTCATTGATTTTTCTTAAGTCATGCAGGAATCTCCAAGAACCATTAACCCTTTTTATAATAAAAACAGGAGGTTCCAGGGGCTGGTGGATGGCCAAACATGCCCCAAGGACAATTGTTTAACCAGAGCATCAACTGTTGTGATTTAAAGGATGGCAGAGGCCACTGCTCAACCCAAACAGGTTCTCCAAGTGTCCACTCAATCTTTGGCATCAGGGGGCAAGCAGTGGCCTTTAGAATTGGGGGTGAACCCAGGAAAAGTCTCGTCTGAGCTTCTCAAAATAGCGATCATTCCTATAATTGGGGTGTGTTTCCCGCTCCTCCTCAGACTGCTGTTGGTACTCTTTAGTGTCAAGCATGTCCTGTGGTGATAAAGGCCTCAGCTTTCCCAAGGATGTTCTGGCCAAGAAGGTTGTCAGTTACACCAGGTACCACCAGGGAATGCACCTCCCTGTGATTACTGTCAGGGTCAGTCCAGGACAACCAATAAGCTGTCTCCCATGACATAGAATGCCCTCCCATGCCAAGCACATGGGATCCGGGAACCAACTGCCAGGAGGAGGGGACTTCCTCCTTTGGGATGATCATGTGGTCAGCCCCAGTGTCTATGATAAAATAAAAGGTTTTTCCTTCAATGGTTAGGGACATCTTGGGCCTTAATCCAGGCACCAAGGGTACGGTCCAGTGGGCTTTGACCACCTCTTTCCCCTTATTTAACAGGGCTGGGGATCGCCCCTGGGGGAGTTTAAAGGTGCCCCTTGGAGGTTGAATTTAGATCTACAGTCTTTTGCCCAGTGGAACCCCTTCTTACACCTGGGGCATGGGGTGTGGGGCAGGCCTGATTGGGGAGGAACCATGGAGGCGCCCTTAGCATGGTTAGGACATTCTCTTGTAAAATGGCCTTCCTCCCCACAACCGAAGCAGGACCGTTTTCCTCCCGTGGAGACTTGCTGGAGGGCACTGACTAAGGTTGTCATCTGTTCCCTATTAGCTGCCGACATGGCTACGGCCATGGTTTGGACCTGGTGAGAAGTAGAGCCAACATCTCGGGAGGCCACAATTTGCTAATTTCCTGATCTCTCAATCCAGCACAGGCAAGCTTACGATCAGTGTTCATGCTGTCCCACACCAACATTTTAGCAAATTTATCCCTCAGCTCCCCGGGAGGAAACTTTCTCTGGAGACTCTCATTGATCATAAGTCCTCGCCTGATCTCTCTGATGGACCCCGGATATAGGAGCCTCCGTGGGGGCCCTCATCCATTTTTTTCCAAGCAGCTATCCCAAGTGCCCTAACTTGATCTTGATAGGGGGCAGGGATGGCAGCCTGCTGGAGGCCAGCGGAGTACTAGTCAGAGGTACTGGACAGCATCCCAAAGGTGATAGGGATTTGAGGGTTTGGCCGCTTGATTTCTCTCTGCCTGGATCCTGCACTCCTCTAGATAGAAGGCATCCCATTTCAAGTAGAGAGGTCCAGGAAGGACCACTTTGGCGAGGGCCTTCCAATCCCGAGTGGTCAAGGCTTGATGAGCCAGACCCAGAAGGATAATCTCAGCCCAAGGGGAATTTGGCCCATCCTCTGAAATGGCCTTTTTAAGGTCCTTAAGGTCCTGAGCATCCCAGGCAAGCACGCGATTGCCACCAGGTTTAATATTAACAGGAAAGAGGCCAGTCACATCCCCTGGGGCCGCACCCCACCCAGAGTAGGGCGGAGGTGCAGACGGATTGGGGGGTGGGTGGGGTGGAATTCGGGATGGAGTGGGTGAGGAATAGGTTGGTAGGGACAGCAGACATTTGAAGCCAGGGGCCAGCATCAAAGGGATCAAGAGCTGGATACAACGAGCCAGACGAGCCGAGCTGACTCAGGGGTTTGGGTTTGGGTGTGGCCTGGATTTTTATGTCTCTTTTCTCCCTGGGCTCTGTCTCCTCTCCTTGAGGTTTCCTACAGGCCCCTTCTCCTTGTAGGGCTCCAGACTTATGTCTCCCTTCTTAGAGTTTTCCAAGGTATCCACGGGCCGTTTCTCCTTAATGAGCCTTGGTAGGAAGCAGCCTTTTAAGGCGGTAACAATGGGAATAGCTCCCAACAGAGGAATCTCTCCTCTGTCAACCCTGGCCCTGTGAATCAGGGTTTCTGTTCTATCCCAGGTGTCCTAGTCGAAAAGATGGCCATCAGGCAACCGTGGGGCGATCTTAATGAGGCAAGTCCATGTCTGGAATGCCTATCAGAAAGGTTGAGATCCCTGCTCTTTAGCAGTATTTGCAGGGACTCCAAGGCAGGATTTAGTTTAGAAGAAGACTGCCCAATATCTTATGGGGGTACACTCACCCGTAGACTCATTGGCCCTTCAGTGTTCTTCCATTCCTCACATGGGGTACCGGTCTGTCGGTCTGACTGACAGGTAGGGCAGAGGCAGGACTGGTCCAGCTAGTCTCTCCCCCAGGCTGAGAAGGATGATGAGTGTTGGATGGCCCAGACCTCCCCATGTCCACCAGAGAGAAACACACTGGACCAGGAGTCTTGTCGAAGCAGGAACTCGCTTTATTGCATCAGGAGTGAACTTATATAGGTTGGGGTGATGGGGGAGGGGATGAGGTGAGGATAGTGGGCCAATGAGATGATGCCACCTCAGCAGTTACTAGGCAGAGGTGATGCTTGGTCAGGTAGTGCTGATCACTTGTATGCGGGAGTCATGTCCCAGGACAGGTAGTCAAACTCGAGCTAGGCTCAGGAAGTTACGCTGGGCCTCACACCCAGGCCTTTGGGGCCCAACAGTTGGTTTGAAGTCTTTTAGCCTATTTGTATCATGGGAAGTTTCTCATTCTCCTTCAACTATGATAGATAGTTTTGCTGGGTACAGTAATCTAAGTTGGCATCTGCAGTCTTTTAGATCTTAAAGTGCATTCTTCAAGGCTCTTCTACTGATTAAAGTTTCCACTGAGAAATCAGCTGTTGTCATTCTGGTGGGTTTTCCCTCGTATGTGACTTGATCCATTTTACTCTAACTAAGCTCAGAGCTAGCATTATCCTAAATGAAAAACAAACAAAATTGAAGCAGGATTGCTTTGGGACTTTGGTTCTATAAGAATTATTAGGATTTTTCTTCTGTGAAGAATGAGATGAGAATCTTAGTGAGATTGCATTGAATCTACAAATTGTTTTAGGTAGAAAACAATTTAGGTCATTCACAACACAATTCTATCAAACCATTGGCATGGAGTGTCATTCAACTATTTAGTTTCTTCTTCAACCTCTTTCTTCAAAGATTTAGTTTTCATTCACTTTCTTGGTTAGGTTTATTCTTATACACTTTTTTGAGGTTATTGTGAATGGGTGTGTTTCCATGCTCTCTTTCTCAGTGTATTTGTTGTTATCATATAGAAAAGTTACTGATTTTTGTAAGTTGATTTTTTTTATCCTGCCATTTGCTGAAATTGTTGATCATTTCTAGAAATTTTCTGGTGGAATTTTGTGGATCTCTTATGTATAATAAGAGATATATACCTATAATTTAACTTCTCCTTTTCCTATTTTTATCCCCTTAATTTCTTTTTCTTCTTTTATTGCACTTGCTAGTTCTTCAAGCACTATATTGAGAAGGAGTAGGGATAATGGAAAGCCATGCCTCATTTTAATTGAGATTGCTTTGAGTAACTAGTCATAATTGTTCTCAACCTGTAGATGACAAACTCTTTGGGGATTGGATATCAGATATCCTGCATATTGGATAATTACATTATGATTCATAACAGTAGCAAAATTAGTTATGAAGTGCCAATGAAATAATTTTATGATTGGGGATCACTACAACATAAGGAATTGAATTAAAGAGTTTGCAGCATTAGAAGGGTTGAGAATCACTGATTAGTGGGTTAGAGCACTTACCTAGAATGAGGCTCTAGATTTAATCCCTAGCACTACCTAGTACAGTTGATGATTTTAATCGGATATATATTTGGCCAACCTAGTATTTCTGTGTATTATAAAAGAGGTAGTCACTTGAATGGGGATATTTAAAAATCACAGACTTGATCTTGTATAGGTCCCATGCCTACCCGAGGAGCTATTGGCATGTATGACTTCTTGTGGAGAAACAGTTCATTTTCCTCAGGGATGTTGGCCCTGAGAAGCTACCCATCACTAGTCGATGATACCACATCCATGCACATACAGGCAGCATGAAATGGACATTGAAAGAGGGAGGGGAACACATGAAACCAGAAAGGAAAAGTTATGGGTGTTGTAGGCAAGGAATTGGAGTAGAAGAAATGTGAGTGTTTGATAAAAACACATTACACTCATGTGCAAATACTAGGAAAAATTATTTAAAACCACAGAAACATTAAATGAGTGTTATAAGTCTAGATTGAATAGTTTGAAAATACAGAAAGCCAAGTTTTTAAACTAACAACATAAAAATGAAAACAATAAAATGTTTTAACATTATTCATGTTTAGTGACACATATATAACCAAGTAAACAAGGTTCAACTATGTAATGCAATACATTCTCATAAACAATTAAAACCCATTTTAGAATGTGCCCAGTTTGCTACAATGTGATGATTACTGTGACATATGGTATACTAATTATGAGAATTTTTTCTTATATATACAAAAATGTAAAAGATTTTAAGTGACAAAATTAGTAAACCATTTTTCTCATAAGATAATACTGCTTCAGATTGAAAATACCATATAATTAATTTCTTCATAATTCTGAACTCTAAACTAGAAAAGAAAAATAAATAAAATTTACAGTTGGTTTTGAAAACTTTTCTTTTAGAATTAGAACTTTCTTACTCTGACATTTTCATCTGGAATACAACCACCAAGAGATGTCTTACCTGAATTCTTCTTCTCTCTTAAGCTTTGCATTAGGTTATGCTCATACTCCAAAAGTATTGTCTTCCTGTCATATACAAAAATGTGGTCCATGCAATCATTATTTTAATATTGGTATGAAAACCATGTCAAACATATTAAATCATTAAGGGTGTTTCAGTTGGTATCAGGGTATTTTGGTATAGTCTTCAAAATTCTGAACTTGAATATATTTTATTAAACTTTTAATTAGATAAAGAAATAACAAAGAAATGGTGATGAATCAAAGACAGCACATGCACTAGGTCATCTTGACAAAATGGGAAGTATCATGACCTCTGATACAGTCCTAGCTTAATAACTAACAACTGATTCTAGATATGTTTTCTCTCATGGTAAAATTCTTAAACTTCTAAAAAATAAGGACTTTACTGCTTTGGTTCACCAAGTTGCTATGAAGACTTAACAATATAAAAGTATTAAGAGGCAAATGGAAAAACAATAGAATAATTTGTATCTTAACAGTAAATTGTTTTGAAAACCAAAATGAAACCTGCATGTGTTTTTCTTCACAGAAACTAATGCTCCAATGTTACAGCTTTCAGCAAATGTGAAGTGCAAGTATGTTTACTAGCTATTCTGCTATGTGTGGTTTGTAGTTTAGGGAGTAGTAGCCATTGAACAGTTTAAAACTAAAATTTATATTAACATATAACCTTAAGTTAGTAAAATGATTATTCATTATTATTGAACTAATAAATCATACCAAAAATTTTAAAACTATTAAATTTCAAAACCTAAATATTTCTGCTTTACCTAATCCAGTCTTAATCCATGGACCATTGTTACAAGGATGCTTAGAATTGTCAGTGTTGCCACTGGATCACCTACTTTTCTGATGTTGTAGTAAAACACTATAACCAAGGCAACCGATAGAAGAAAAGGTTTATTTTGGCTTATGAATACAAAGGAATGAGTCCATCATGGTGGGAACAGATACAGAAACTCACAGCTAGAGCTATGCAGAGAGAGGGTCTAAATGGGAGTTCTCCATCAAATCCCCCTCCACACACACACACACGCAAAGCTCAGGGAATCCTGCAGAAGAGGAGGTGGAAAGACTGTAAAAGACAGGGGATGAGGGAGGACAACCAGGAGAACAAGGCCCTCTGAATCAACTAAACACATGAGCTCACAGACTAAAACAGCAAACACAGGGCCTACATGGGTCTACACTTAGGTCCTTTGTGCATATACTATAGCTATCAGCTTAGTATTTTTATGGGACTCGTGATGGTGAGAACGAGTGGGTCTCTAACTTTTGCACCTACTCTTGGGACTCTTTTCCTCCTGTTGGATTGCTTTTGTTTTATAATTTATATTATTTTATGATATAAAAATATAATAATTTTATTGTTTCATGTTTGGTTGTTATCTCTTAGAAGCCTATTCTTTTATAAAGAGAGACAGAAAGGAAGTAGTTACAGAGAGGAAGTAAGGTGGGGAGGAACTGGAATGAGTAAAGGAAGGGGAACCAATAATCAGGATATATTGTATGAGAAAAGAACCTATTTTCAACAAAAGAAAAAAAATCACCAAAAAAAAAAAAAAAAGAGTCCAACATGGCAGAGAAGTATGGGAGCAAATAGCAGGCAAGGGGGCAGGAGCAGGAAGCTGAGAGCTCACATCTTCCAACATAAACATGAAACAGAGAAAGTGAACTGGAAGTCATAGGATGGTCTTAATGTCAAGGCCCGCCCCCAGTGAGACACTTCCTCCTGCAAGGCTGTGCCACTGTAGGGTCCCAATCAGTGCCACCAACTGGGGACCAAGTGTCCAAATGTCTAAGACTAAGAGAGAGATTTCTTATTTGAGCCACTACAATCACCATCTGGTTCAGAAGATGGAATCTTTTTATGCATACATACTGATAAGACATCATGGGACTTACGTCTGCCAATACAGGTCATCTTCTGTTTGGTGGCTTACTTGTGAGGCAAAATTTGAGAATATATTGAAATCTTGAAGGGCATATTCACATAGCTTGGAAGATTGTCATTGATATGGAAAAAAAAATCACTCAAGTGGCCAAGCAAGAGTTGGAATCTCCCCTGAGGAGAGTGATTTGGATTCATTCTAACTTGGAAATGGGGCTAATCAGAATATAAAGGAGTTTCTGGGTAAAGTTCATTATTAAAGAAGAGTAGAACTTTTGATCTTGTCTTGCAAAATTACTGGACACTATCTGATTTTTTTGGAGTGGTCACAACACATACTTGATGGAAGAATAGCCAAAATCCTCTTAGGTAACCAATCATGAAGGTCTAGGTTCACATGTTGACTGCAAATTAAGGTTGTGAATGGATGGGAAGGGTCAGTTTACTGTCAATGGGTAAGCTAAGACTCCTAGCTGTTAAAGTAGAGCACCTTTAGAATAATATCTGTCTTAGGGTTTTTATTGCTGTGAAGAGACACCATGACCACAGCAACTCTTTTAAAGAAAACATTTAATTGGGGTGGCTCATTTACAGTTTCAGAGGTTCAGTCCATTATCATCATGATGTGGAGCATGGCGGTGTGCAGGCAGACATGGTGGAGAGGTAGCTGAGAGTCCTACATCTTGCAGACAATAGGAAGTCAACTGACTGTCACTTTCAGGGAAGCTTGAGCAAAAGGGACCTCAAAGCCTACTCCCACAGTGACACACTTCTTCCAACAAGGTCACACCTCTTAATAGTGCCACTCCCTTTGGGAACCATTTTCTTTCAAACCACCACAATATCCTAACTTACAAAGAAAATATGAAATGAAGAAACTGTTCTAATGATTATGTAAATATTGCCACAAAAACTCAGGGATCTGAATCAATAAGGGCAATCATGGGGTAAGCTGTAAATCATTCCTGTGTTGTAGGATCCACTAATAGGAGAACTGTAACAACAGAATCAACAAGGAAAAAAAAAGTCATGACTAGAATTTCTACCTTTTCTCCTCTGACTTGTGAAAGAGGGTTGACTCCCTTGTACGTACAGAACTAGTTAGTTTCTTGGAATTTCAAGTAGCAGTGTACAGAAAAAACAGTTTTTAAGGATTTTTCTGCTTAAATGGACATTATAAGACTACAATAAACCATTAAAAAATCAAAATGTGGCACTGTGTCTGATGCACAAGGGTTATGTTTGGAATGAAATGGAGCATTCTGGAATACCTAACTATGAAGATCTTCAAACTCCTGAGACAGGTTAAGGATGTAACTCAATGATAGAATACTTGCTTTGCATACAGACCCTGTATTCAATCCCAACATTATTAAAAATCAAACATATCTTGGGATTAAAATTTCCTGCACCCATTTCTACTTCTAAATAATCTATACTTTTGCTTGGTTTCTAGCTGATGAAGTGAACTAACTCCTTTCCATTTCAAAACTACCTAAACCAACAATGAAATCTCACCTAGTGTAATTTCTTGAAACAATATCAATTAGAATTACTTACACCTCACGATCACCTTCAATAGCATAACGTAAAGCAGTCCACCCAAAGAAATCTTTAAAATTCATGTCAACACCTTGTTGAAGAAGAAGATTGACCATAACTGATGAATCACATCTTACAGCATACATGAGAGAAGTTCTAAAATAAAAATAACTTCAGTTACAGACCTTAATATAAATATCCGAATGATTATTAGATATACTTTACCAAATAGCTTGCACAACTGTGTAGAACTGTTAGTAGACCTAAGTATTTGGGGAGATCCATTATTCAACACTGTAAGTTGTCTTCAAAGCTAAAAAGACAAAACACTCTGGTAGACTTCTTTCCTACTATTCTATTACCTAATAGGATTCCCAACTTAGTATTCTCTGACGGATAACTATGGTAATAAGAAAAACGTATCTGAAGTACATCAAGATTTATGAGATTTCTCCATTTCTTTAATAGCTTAATGTAATATATTGTAATTTATACTCATGTCAACTAAGTAAAATAATTTGTGTGATTAATATAATAAAAGAAACAATATAAAATAATATTGATAAAATAATGGCAAAGATAGTTATGATACTTTCAGTTAATGATGCTGATTACCACTGATAGGCACTGAGATAAGATATATATTAATTTTTTTTCAGACAGGGACTCAATATGTTTGTTTTTCTATGTAGATCATGTTGATCTCAAACTCAGAGATACACCTGCCTCTGTCTCCTGAGTGCTAGGATTAAAAGTATGTGCTACCACAGCCAGATGAATGATCTTACAACCACCCATGTGGTTGTAAGTGGTTACATTTTTTTATATATTAGGGATGTGTTGTGCCTGGTTTAGCCACACAGCACAGGGAAGTGATGCCAGCCAAGATCTAAGGGAGTTTGCTGTATTTCAGTCTGGTGGCATGTGATGACATCATCCATGTGGTGCGGGCACAAAGAACGAAAGAGTTATATAAGATTGTGGGGGTATACACCAAGGGTTCAGGAAGAAAAATAAACCCATGAGGCGGGGCAGTGAGGAGCAACCTGGAATTTCCTGCATAGAGCTCCTGATTGAGTTGTATGCTGAACTGTGGATGGGATTTTAACTTACAAAGGAGACCTTGGGGTGGTTGGAGATGTTAGGTACACAGGAATCCTTGGGAGGAGTTCTCCCATATTCTCCCCATCATGGGGATACTATATCATGGTTTCCCTGCCAAGACAGACAATGCATTCTGAGTACACGAGCCAAATAAATCTTCTCTCCACTAATTTCCCATTAATTAATGTCATGTATTATGTCATGCCTATATGAAAAGTAACTAATATACAATTATTTTTTTAACTTTACACTCAATAAAGAATTTTCTAAAGACAAGTATATTAAAACAAAATTAATACAGTTTAGCTAATATAAGATCATATGTACTAAGATTAAGAATTAGAGAAATTAGTCAATATTAATGAGAGTATGAACCCTATTATATATCACTTACTTTGAATTATTGAAATTCTAAGCTGGGTGTGGTAGCTAATGCCTTTAATCTCAGCCCTCATGAGGCAGAGGCAAGCAGATCTCTGCTTTCAAGGCCAGCCTAGTCTATGGAGCAAGTTCTAGGACAGCCAGAGTCAGAACTTTCAGAACAGAGAAACCCTTTCTTAGGGGAAAGAAAGGAAAAGAAAATCTACCTAACAGATAATACATGTTTGGTTTTCAGTATATTCCTATAAATTAATCTTATTGTTCCTAATAATGTAATATTTGTATGTGCATGGTGGTCTCCATTTTAGAATAACATTAAAGGGCTCTCTCTCTAAGTCAGATGAGTCTACCTTCTCTGAAAGTCAACTGCATGTACACTTGCTTTCATCCTTACTAAATATTCTGCCATCTTCAGCCTGTCTTCCCTGAGAGCAAGCAGTAGTGGTGTGAGGTTATCCTGTAAAACAGCAAAATAAACTTACATTTCGCAAAGACTCCAGGGACACAAACATATGAAACAGACAGTTTTAAGATGAGGGCTAGAGATATAGGGTAAAGAGAGTGCATTAAAAGCCGTCCTTTCCTTTCCAAGCTACTATGATGCCGTGCACGCTTTACATTCTCTTCAAAATGTTGCCCCCCCCCCCGCGTCTACAGTTGTAACATGAACCCTAGTCCTCTGTGAAAGACCTTAGCCCTTCAGACTTACACCCCCAAGGCCTTCGGGCTTACACCCCCAAGCCTCAGGAAAGAGAAACTTCAAGCACCGGGAAATGAGAAACTAAAACTCTAGTTCCAAGGGCAACCTGACTTAGCCATTGTTCAATCTCCCCTGCAACCATATAACAGTGTAAAAAGATTTCTGTTAAGAGATGTGCTCAACTGTGACTGGGATCGTTGCAGGTGTTTCAGGAAGGACCACTGTGACCTTTGTGTAAACTCCATTTCTGCCCTGATACCCCCCTTGAGGTTTCAGGAAGAATGTACCTGTTGACCTAACTGTACCCCCTCTGTGATCACTCTGTACCCAGGCCATGATCTTGTGAAATGAAACTGTATGGGAATTGTAATCTTATGGCTTTTGTGGGTTTTTCCTTTAAAAGCCCCCATGGGGCTTCAGTAAGATGCGGCTCTTGCTCTTAGGAGCAGAGTTTGCCCTTCTATATAGAAGCTTTAATTAAAAAACTCTTGCTATTACATCAACTGGACTGGAGTCTGGGTTCTTGGGACACCCACTTGAGACCCTAAATTTTGGGGTCCAACACTCTGCAAACTTCACTTGAAATAATTTTGCTTCTATAAAACTTTGCTCCCCTTATTAAGTTAATCTTGGTATTTTGGAGTCATATAATTGCTTCCATCTAAACCCTAATGTTCTTGAGAACAGGGGCTGTATCTTTATCTCAAATACCCAATCACAAACACAGTAACAAAGACTTTCATTGCTTTATGGGATTAATGAGCTACATTTTCATGTCTAGAGCCCCAAAACTATTTCCATTGCAGAAGTATCATGTTGCAATAGGAAGACTTTATGATTAGCTGTTTACTGCTCTAGCTGGTGGAGTGAACCTGGGAGAATGGGGCCTGAAAATGAAGCGGTCTAAAGTCACATGCAACAGCCAACTTTATTCAGAGCATCAGACAATTTATAGTCTGGGGGTTAAGAAGAGTCCCATGAGTAAGGTGTTCAATCACAAGGACAAGCCACACATGGCAAAAACATGTTTTTCTACAGAGGCAAATGAGGAAGTAAACTCACTCCTGTCCACTATACCTGGGGGAGCATGAAAACATTCCCAGAACAATTCCATGTTTTGAAGAAACTGAGGTCAGGAGATTCTTGTTTTCTTGGAGTTTTCTCACAAGCACTCAGCATTCTCACATGACTCTATTCTTGGACTGTGTTCTAACAATTGTGAAATGTGGAAACACCATGCCGTGTATGTAACTTTAGTTTTGGCTTATATCTCATTTGGCAATGCACTTTGAGCCAATCATTAGCATTTGAAGAAGTAGACTGAGGAAAGTATTAAGACTTTTCTACTAAGACACTACCTTCAGGTCATGAAGACACCTTGCAAATGTGAAAGCAAGTTCTCAGAAAGCAGCTGTGCCTTCCACTCACCCTTCTGCAAGGCTAATTAACTAATTAGACATTCAACAATTGTAAAGAGTTTAAAATGTCACAGTCCAGAGCCAGATTATCTTAGGCCATCTTTAGCCCTCTTAGTAAACATGAGTTACCCTCCTCTGTGTGTGAGCTAACATCTTTTGATCATTAGGTAAAATCCAATTACAAACAGACATCTAGCCCACACCAACCAAAAGGCTAAGAATGTCGTCAGATAGCATCTGAGGCCCATCCATAGCAGAGATTTCTCCTCTTTGCTTTAACCATTCAGCTGTTTCCATCAATGAATTTGAAAACTGTCTTTATTTATGACGTCTTTGTTCAATTACGATAAACATTTTATAAAACCGCTTCCACTTTGGAACATTCAGAGTAGGAATTTAGGGTAACCTCAACCTGTGTTCTTGGACCATTTATGTTTGGACTCCCACTCCATGTAGGTCACTACAGAAATGGGCTTTAATTACACCTAACATCTTCAAAAGGACTTCACATGATCTGTGGGTTTTCTGATATTATAGGTTGAAGAATGTCTGAACTGTTATAAAGTTCAGTACAAATGTTTTCTCACATCTAATAATAATACTGTGACTCCAGTACTACTCTTTTGGGGGTTCAGGTTCTTTCTTATAGCCTAGGGTAGATTGAGCTCAAGCTTCACCTGCTCTAGCTTCCTAAGTGCTGAGATCACAGGGATGTACACCTATCCTCATTGTCTAACATTTTTCATTCATGTTTACTATGACTCTATTTTAATTACTGTTTACAGTTACTTTTCACTTTAGTCAAAGTATAAGCCATAAATTAAAAGCCAATGACTTCTCAGTGAAATTCCAAAATTGATGTAGATATACAGATATATGATTTATAATACAACAAAGGCCACTAAATCACTCATACTATCTAAGGGGTAATGTGGAAGAGAAAAAATGTTGCTTGCAATATGCCCATCTTGTCAGTCTAGGTGGTATAATTAACCAAACAAGACCTACAGATACTCCAATGGGAATTTTATTACTTATAGTATAGACAAGAGAAACCTTTGCCATGCTGGAAATGAAACAGGGTTGTGAGCATGCTCGGCAATCACTCTGCCAAGAAGCTACATTCCCAGCCCAAGGATACTCTTAGAGATTTTTTTTTGAGATGTTTGAAATTTTTATTCATTTATACGTCTGTTTGTCCACATGTAAGTATGCGCATGTATATGTGGGTGCTTGTGGGAACCAGAAGAGTGTATCAGATTTCCCTCATGCTAGAGGTACATGTAATGGTGAGCTACCTGACTTGAGGGTTGGGAACTGAACTCTGCTCCTCTGGAAGAGCAACAAGAGCTCTTATCAGCCAAACCAGCTCTAGAGCCCCCGCCAAGAAAAATTTTAACATGTCAATTTAATATAATGTAGAAAGCCTAGAAACTTATATCACAATATACCATAAGCAAAGGGTTATAGACTCAAATACTAACAAAGAGCAATGGCATGGCACAGAGAAATACCGAAGTGGATTCCTTGCACACTGGAGCGGACTTGAGTGTCAGAAAATGGACATGCTTTCTGCATGTGAGATCATAAGAGACTAAATTTGATTCTCTAAAAGATCTCAAAGTCCAGGTTTCTGCAGAAGAATCCTGAAGTTAAATCGTGGACTATTTATACCCTTGTGTGTTTACCAATGAATGATTATTAAATTAGCATATGAAATATTTTCTATCTTTACAAAAGCCAGATGTCAAATTTTAATTACAAATTACCTACTCTAGAAATATTCTAGATTTATACTATATATGCATTCAATTCTCCCAATGTTACTTACATGAATAATTTGTTGCATGGGACTGCTGAGGCTAAATTACTGAAAGGATTCCTATTACCATTATTACTGTTAGATTTTCAGTGTCTAGAGCTTCAGGTCCTGAACTAACAGACTTCCAAGTGCCAGGCTCTTTCCTAGAAAGTGAGTTCACATTCAAATGGGCATTGGTAGCCACACTTCCTGCTCCCCATCTCCCTTCCCTGCTTGGGAATCAGAAAACCCGGCTGCAGACATATACTGTGAACTCTGTCCCCATCCTCAGAAAGCTATAAAGAGAGACCCTACAGGTGCCATATAGAAACCCCCAAATGAAACTCTCTGTGGCCCTGGGCCCCACCCCCTCCACCTCCTCCACCCCAGTCAAGCGGTTGCCTCTCTGTTGTGGCATTAGTAATTCTTCTAATAAATTCCTTACTCCATAACCATCCGTCTCAGCCTTCCTCTTGAACCCCAGCTGCGCTGGCCAGGTTAGTGCCAGCTTGACACAGGCCGGAGTCATTTGAGAGGAAGGAACCTCAGCTGAGAAAATGCCTCCATAAGATCAGGCTGTGGGTCAGCCTGTAGAGCATTTTCTTAATTAGTGATTGATGGGGGAGGTCCAAACCCATTTTGGGCGGTGCTACCCCTGGGCCGATGGTCCTGGGTTCTATAAGAGAGCAGGCTGAGCAGGCCATGAGGAGCAAGCCAGTAAGCGGCACCCCTCCATGGTTTCTACACCAAGTCTTGTTCCTGCCCTGCTTGATTTCCTAGTCCTGACTTCCTTCAGTGATAAATAGTGATGTGGAAGTATAAGCCATATAAACCCTTTCCTCTCCAACTTGCTGTTTGGTCATCGTGTTTTGTTTTGTTCCAGCAATAGAAACCCTTAAAACACGGGCCCGCTCCAAAGTCTTCATAAAGGTGCAGGACACTCGAATGGAGCTCTATGGAAATGTAACACTTTATAGGGACCTCCCCCTTCTCTTGCTGCTGCTTCTCCACACCCAGCACAGGCCCCCCGCCCTAAACTGGTGAGTCTTTCATGTCTTTGGCACCCGCTCATCTCTGAACCAAGTAGAACCCCACGGTGAGTTAGGTGCCTCCCGGGGCACGGACCAGGGCTATTGCTCAAAGCACTGTGTATTTGGGCGAATACTCAGTATTGTGTTTGACCTGCCCATTGTGACATTGGTCCCACCTCTGAGAACTTGGGAGGTACGAAGATGCTTGTCTCTCTTACTCTTCTCTACTTGCTTGATTCACAGGCCTCATGATGGGTACCTCCACTCAACCATCTAATGACTCCCCCCTAGATTACAGTTGGATTTTTTTATTCTTTATCCTTTGGGGGCCTGCCACTCAGCTCCCA